TTTCACAAGCCAGCAATAGAAGCCTCGAAAGTAAATTGTGAAGTAGTTTATGTCCTCATGGCAAACAAGCTGACATCAGAATTTTTCTGTGCTTTGGAAGACTATGTCCGCTCCCCCTCGATGGCAAGAGTGTCACTGTGTTTATGTTAGATTACTCAGTTTAGTGTTTGACTATGGTATTTTCTTCAGGCAATTGGTGTTGATTGGCGTCAGAAGCTAGACTCACAGCGGGGTGCTGTACTAGCAACAGAACTGAGAAATAACAGCTGTAAACTGGCTAAGTGGACTGTTAGTTCTATACTAGCTGGATCAGAGTACCTCAAACTAGGGTAAGACAGATTTTTTGTAGGGGTAGGGGAATACTTTACATGATTGTGTCTTATTTCTTGATTTTGACTAAATATGGTTCGTTTTCTTTGGGATAATTACTATTTTTTTATTTACTTAGGCAGTACCTGTACAGAGAGTACGTAATATAGTCCAGATCAAAAACCTAACTACAACAGGGCAGGAAAAAACTCGGGTCTGATTGCCTGGGAAAGTAAATTTTACTCTTGGGCAAGTGAAAATAGAAGTTCAGTGTCCACTGGACAAGTGAAATTAGTCTCAGTAGTCTTGAGAACCTGAATAAAAATGTCAGCTTGATAAATGACAATTTCCAGTAAGAAACTATTTTAAAAAAATGAGTAAAATGAGCAAAAATTTGATTTGAAAACATGGATTAGTTGGGATCCAAGCATACTTTGTTCGCATTTGTCCCCTGATTGCCATACTGGCTGCCTTGCGGCGCGTAACATTTAAGTGGGGGCAAGTGAAAACTGAAATTTACTGGCCCACTTGGCAAGTGGATTTCAATTTTTTTCCCCTGCCTGGTATCCAAAGTATTAGTTGTTTTAAGTAGTAAATCGATATAAGGGCTTGCTTGCATCTAGATTGTAACACATGTGATTGGCAGGCTGTTGTTTCTAATTATGCCTTTGTTGTTTACTGTTTGTACATTTTTGCTTCTGGATGCCAATGAATTGGCAAAACAATTCAGGAATGAATTGAATTCCAACCCACGACCACTCTGATGCTGCCAAGTGCTCTACCAACTGAACTGTTGACTCAGTTGTCTGGGACAAAAACAAAAATCAGTCTACACAAAAACACACTAACAACTTTCTTTTA